TAATTAAGTATGATTAAAAATATACAGTAATCGTGTTCATTATCATAAATTCGGATAATAAAATAGTATAAAAAAATGTATGGTTGGGTGGAATTTTCCAGTATTACATATTGTATTATTTGATAAGAAGTTTAGTTATGATTTTATTCATTTACCTATTTACTCATTTATAAGACAACACTAATTAAACAATTAAAATTAATAACGAGGTGACTATTTTAAGTCAAATAAATAATTAAAGGCAATCATACGAGTACACCACTTTTTCCTCAGTACAAAATGTATGTGAATTTAAAAGCTACGAAAAAATATGTACCCCAGCTCTTATAAGCATAACTCGTTTTTAATGCAAATTTTCCAAGGTTTTTTTATATCCATAAATTGTACTTGGAGTGCATTAAGTAAAAACCAATAACAAAATATATTTACATTATTCAATTTTGAGAATTCGAAAACGGTAGATTTAATAAATAATTTAAATTTAATCCTTGTTCCCTGTGTTAAGATTCCTCTTAAAGTAAGATATTTTATTTATAGGATATTTAAAAAAGACCGCTTAGTTTACCGGAGAGATTTTCATATATTATTTAAGTGATGGATGAACTTTTTTCCTGGACCGTTGCCGGGTCGCACTTACAATTGATAAATGAATTAGACTAATCACGGGCATTTAAATTATGTCTAAAGAAACCGCTAAATGTTCTTTGCTTCATTAAATCTTTAGCGACCGTTCATGTTATCCAGAATATGTATATAATATATTTCACTTTATACAACGTACTATATGTTTTCCTTCTTTTTATTTTATTATAAATAGTGATCTTATTTAAAACCGACATATCGTTATTGTAAATTAACTCTAAGTTTAGGAAAACTTTATATAATAATAATAATAAAAAAAAAAAAATATTTCACTTAAGTATTCAAATAATATTATTGTACTATTTTTGTTTCACTACAAGTAGGAAATACATAATTACTATTACAAAATATTAATAATAATAACACTACCTACAAATATAATTAAAAATCGGGTGTTTTTTTTTTTGAAACATGATATATAGAGGTCGTGTGTAGAAAACGATACTATGTTTTTCACGTTTAATGGTTTTTAAATTGTATTCTATACACCACCGAAAGATTATATAAAGTCCAATGACAAACATAAATATATTTTTGACGACGGTAGGTCAGCTTTGACATATCAGAGAACGATGATGCCGAGGACGAAGTCCAGGCGCGCTATCAGAATATGTTAATGGTATTTAAGAGGAAGAAAACCGAAGCGTTGGAGCGAATACACAAGATAACGGAATATCTGGAGACGATTCGGAGTTTGATAGAGGTAAAGCAAAAAGAATGTGATGCTCTCGGGGCAGAACAGTACGACTTAGAGCTGAAAACTGGCGTTGGCATGATAAACTCAAAAACCGGAAAATCGCTAACTCACAATGTAAGTATATCAGCTATAATAAAAATATCTTCAATCTGTTACGCAAGTACAAATATATAATGAATATTTTTACTACCTAATCTAACCTAACACCATTACACAAACGAATAAACTATAGATATTAGATATACATTCAAATAGTGAAATGTATATGTCATAATAATAAATAAATGAGTGTTTAAAATACAAAATAAACATAATTTTAGATTTTCATAAGAACATTTCTCGGATTAGAATATTGTCTATAGGCTATAGCTGTTGGTAACTACTTTCAATCATTCAATTTGTGGAATTTGATATTTTATACGAGAACAATGTCCATTTGATCATAAATATTTAATTTGAAATACTTAGCGAAGTAAAAAATGTGGTTACATATAAAATCGAATATGTGTACAAACAAACAATGTAATTCTTCGAACCTTTCCCTTCCCAGATACCGACCCTACTTTATTATTATTATTATTTACAAATGTCTGAGGAATATTTTAAACATTGAAAATAAATGTCAAAAACAATTTAAAATGTTTGTACGTCTTAAGCAATAAACACATTTGTATAAAAAATGGCAAATACGCTATTACAAAAAAAAATTGTTTGCAACAGGAAGTCGTGCACACTTTAAACGTTTATCGTAGCAAGGTCAACGACCTTTCTAAGCACCGACTCGAATATATTATTAAAAAAAACAAATGCAACGACGTTTTAGCCGACATTGAAAAGCTTGGCGTCGACGAATATCTCAGAAAGTACGAGACGTTAGAGTCTAAGAACAGAGATTACGAAAACAAAATCGAAGACAAGTAACAATAACATTATAATCGTACCTGTACCTAATCTTAATTCATGCAAAAGCGTTAAGTTTTTTTCACAATGCACCAACCCGATTTATATACCTAGATATTTTCCGAGTTGATTTCAAGTCGCTTTACTAAGGTGTTGTGTATCTAGCGTACGCAGGAGAGCTTAAGGTACAATACAAATTGTCTCTCACATTTTATTAGCTGTGGTATTTTTTTTTAACTAGATGTTAGTGGCTTTTGTTGTCTGGGAAATAAAATACTTCGTAAAATATATTATTACCTCTGCGCTTTTACTATCTTGTCAGTTACACAAAAGCTGATGAGCTAGCAGATTTTTATAATAATATTTTCCCTATCCACTCAATTGTAGCTCATTTTTGTTGTAAAAAATATTGTTGCAACAACGTTCTATTCCTATAAAAGCACTTTAAAAGTAATTTTGTTTGTACATTTTTATCTTTTTGGATGCTTTCATATGTTCTCCATTGATTAAAAGGCAGGTAATTTAAAATTGAATTCACCATTCTCTGTTAGCCGTATGACGTTGGCGAAAATCTACTTCTTATTAATAAAGTTAGCTAATGTGTATACTGAAGGAATGTTGCTAAAAATGTCATTTTAAAAAGAAAGTAAACAATAAACTTTTGTCGTTAGGGAGACAGCTGTAAAGGTATTAGAATATTGTTGCGTGGATGATATTAAATATCACTGTTTAAACTTTTTTTCGCACCCCTATTTGGAATTCCATCACATTTGGTGTATCGAATAGTTCATAAACTGTTTAAGATTTCGCGAAATTAAAACTTGTAATTAGATTTAAAAAAAAATACGATTATTAAAAAAACACCGAAATTTAGCGTCAACAACTATTTAGTTTTATTACAAACCATGTGAATATTAAGTACTATCATGGAGTATATAAATTGTACAATATATGCTCAATAGTACTATGCATATTTTAGACTCTGGGACATGTGTGTACAAAGCATATTTTAATGAGGAAAATATGTTATCAAAACAAATTTACTATGCGACGGTTTTGTACGTATTTTTTATTGCATCCCTTTATTTTTTAACTCGTTGTTAAACAATTGTTTGAGCTTACTTCAGCGTTAACATTTTTTTTTTGTTAAATTTTATTTTTGTGTACTATTTTTCTTTGGCTGGATTTTGTACATAGTTTTAATTATATGAATATTAAACGAAATATTTTATTCAAACAACTACACATAGGACGATTGGTAGATTATCTGAGGTTACATCTGAAATAATTAATTTTTATAATTTCATAGTTTATAGTGTTTGATAAACGTGCAAGTACGGAAATTACTTAAACGACATAATAAAGAGTATCGTTTGAGCGGTCAATAATAAAAAAAAAATGCTTCGAGCTTTTTTAAATTGTTTCGTGGCGTATATTTTGGGCTCTCAAAAGTCCTCACGGTTATTTGCGTTTTTTAGCATTTTTATTGAATTTCGAAGATTGATGTGCTTTTTTTGACGTTGTTTTTAAATTCCGAGGAAAAGAATAAATTTAGGCAACTCTGTGGCAAACTTTTTAATACTACTGGCGATTACATTAGAATACACTAACATTTTTTTCATTACATTATAATATCATAAAAATGCGAATTGTGAATTTTAATAAAAAGGTATAACGCGTCGTAGCTGTATATGGTACAAATAAAGCATTTATAACGGAATTAAAAGTTATGATTTTCCGTAGCCACTGTAAAATCTGGACCAATGGCTATCCAGTCATGTATTATAATATTCGTTTAATTTGTTAATTCAACTAAAAAGGGATGACTAAAATATTAGAATCGTTCTGGCGAAATACCGCACATTCGTCGAAAACGTCAGTCGCTATAATTGAATGCATGTGTAATTATAAATTCCAATGGTTTTATGAAATAATTTGATCCCAGAGGATTTCTTTGCGTTCTGTAAACAATTATATCATCATATTTAACGGACGAAGAATGATGATTAGCGTCGGTGGTTTGGGTTTTCACATTGTAATACAAAATTTATAGCACTTTTGTTCATATTATATAAAAATATATTATTTCATACTAAAGAATTTTATTCTAACGGAATTCCGTTTTAACTTTGATCCGAGCTGAAAGGATATACAAATTATACTGCTATATATGAAATTTGTATATAAAAACAATAAAAAATGAATAAAAAACTATTACTGTGTGACGTTATTTCACTGTAACCTATGTTTTTTAAGTGTTATATATTATAAAATAATTTAAAAAAAACGAAATTTATACTTAAGTATCTATAAAATATCTAGTAGCAATAACTTTCATTTCACAAAAAACTAATACATGAAAGTAAATGGCTAGTATTTGTTCCAAGATCAATGAAAACTTATAGTTTCCGAATCATTGTACTTTATAAAAACATTGTATCTAATTTGTTTTTTCTCTCTTAAATAAGGCATCGCGTTTTAGTGAATTTCAATTCATTTCAATGAACTGTTTTTTTTTACTTAGGAGTCGACTTCACCTTTTGAATGCAACGAAATAAAATATAAAGAGACATTATATAGCACAACCGTGAATATATTTCAAAACATATTTTCAACCATTCGTATGCTGTGGTCCAGTAACAATATTTGTTTTTATAATTAGCTAGAACAGCCCTAGACTTTTACCGGGCTTCAAAAAGATATTTTTTTTTTCAAATAAAAGACCCTGACATTAAACCGTAAATTGTATGATTAATATTACCTCGTTAGCCGCCACTAGTAACGTTTCAGCTCGTAGCAAATCAGTGGTAGGTGTTATGTGTCCATGCGGTGTCTCCAGTTTCGCTATAACTTGTCAATCATTATAATAAACACAGACTGTTAAGTACGTGTAACGTGAATAATAATTGTCCATTGATCTGAAACAAACAAGATTATGATATTATTTAACGACGATGTTTACCTGAGGATCTGACGGTCGTTATAGTAAAGTATAGGGAACAGTTTATGCCGTAAAAGATTATAATTGGAAAGGGTTAGGTAGTAGACTTAGCTACTAACATTGACTGCCGCTTGTCAGGGACCTTAACTTTGGGTTCTGTGTGCACTCTACAATTACAAAATACCATGTCAAACATTCTCCTATACAAAAACCTGTATAATTTGTATTGTTATTGGATTATTATTTTGTCATCTTTTATTACTTTATCAGTCTCCAACGACTGATAGAGTTAGCTTAGTTTCATTATTGCCGAAAAGTTAAGGGTTTTAAATATTAATTTCTTTATTCTTTATATCAAGTTGTATCCAACATTTTCTATACTTTACTTTAATAAATAGGTGGTGTAACTATAAGAAAATCGTAACGTATTGCTACATGGGGTCGGGCTGACGAGCATAATAGGCAAGAAATCCGGTTAAATGCTACCTGCGATGGTTGTTTTGATCAAAGTAACAAAGACCTAACGTAACTCGTGTATGGAATTTATGGGAACAGGGGTTCAAGTTCAATGGAGTCCTTTAAAATGTAAAGGGAAAAAGCAAAACGACAGAATTGAAGAAAATGGCGTGCACGCTGTGAATGAAAAACGACAAATAATATCCGAGAATTTCAACACTTTGAAGTTCAATATTACACAACTTTAACCGTTAGGCAATTTTTGGAAGTTCACAAATTCGTACACTTTTTTTGTTGCATTTGAATTTGTTAAGTTTAGTCTATAAAAAACTGAAAACAGAAGCCAGTTAACATATCAAATTAAAAGTATATTTTATTATAATTTATATGTTATATTTCATATACAATAAGTAGTGAATTCAATGATAATACTTTTGAATACTATTTAGGTTTCAACGATGGTACATTAATTAATAATTAATGTATTATAGTTAGTTTCAAAATCATTAAGTTGGTACCTACATTTGTACGATTCAAAAGAGTTTGTATAATATGTTTTTTATTTGAATTAGATATGCGACCGTTTTGATGGAAATATTAGAATCGGAAAAATTGTTTACATTTACTCGAATCGATCATAAACGTCTTTATTGATGTTGTTTATACAAGCAGGAACATTATAAATGGGTATGAGTTCGGCAAAATAAATCATATTTGGATTTTTTTATTCGCTATAATTGTTTATCTACTACTTTGCCGCTGCCTGTACTAGGCTAGGTGTACAATATTTACATGATAATTAATTCAATTTTGTAGAGTAAACACGCAGACTTCAGAGATAGGCATTGAAATGTTTGTTCTCGCACAAGGGGTGTATATATTGCTTTGGTTTTCAATTTATATCGTATGATAAGTTGAGTTGTCTAGATATGGCAGATATGAGTTTGGCGTTGATGAATTTAGCGAAGTCTCTATTAATGTACTTAGCGATTATTTTGATTCGGTGAAATTAATTATTCTACTTAGTTTTATAATTTTGCTAAATCACGTCTGGTCTCTGAATGTACAAGATGATTCATACACCTGCATATAGCTAGGTGATTTATATAATATGCTAATATAATTATACACAATCATTAAGCAAACTGTCTATTCTAGTCAGTAAATGATCCTGTATATTTTGTGATTTTATTTATTATATTATCCGGCAGGCTTCCTCTTATTACGGTCTTCGGTAAGACTAACTCACTAGTTTTAAGACTATTGAAGCGATACTCAACTTTGTATTTGCTATTATAATGCTAATTAATAAAAAAGTTACTATCGCACAATATCTTAATTATTCTCTGAGTTACTTTTTTTGCACGCTATTAGTTTTAACTAAAATGCACATAATAAAAAACAACTTTAACTGGCTCAGATTTCTTTTGTATATGAACTAAGTGTCAATAGAAAAATACAAGTGTTTTTAGTTACATTATCGAAAGTACTCTAAATATTAGAAAGTACTATTTACATAATATTAGACACAGTAAAGTGATCTTCTTGGTTATATTCGGTATATTTAAAAAGTGAATATATTTTTTGGACTAATTATAAAAATAAACCTAACGTTTAAAACGAAAACAACTTAAAATGGGTATTTTAAATTTAGCATTGTATTCCATAGACGCTTCAAAATGTTTTAAGATATTTAATGGTAAGCTATATGTCCTTAATTATTATTTACAGACGCAACGAAATAGTCAAGTACCGAGATAGAAATGTTTCATTAATACACAGAATATCTCACATTCGCCTAAAATCTACTTCCATGGAAGAGGACGTGAATACACAGCTAGACGTTTTGCAACAGCTCGACCGTGATTTAAATGAAGTAAGACTTAGGAATCTTAAAGGGTAATATGGGTTTGATAAAACAACTACATTGGTATAACTGTTACTAACGATCATAATTGGGCCAGTTCTATTATGGTTAGTTTTAATATTGCAACATTTATCAATACAGTTAGAAGGTACATTATTATATTTTAACAATTAATTAAGGGGATTAAAAGCGGGTGGGTTTTAAGGAGTTATATATAGGCGGTAATAACCATTCAAAATAGTCAAAATTGTGTCAGCTTTTGGGTCTTAAACGTCAAAAAAAAAAACAGACCGCATTTAATCCCCATAATGTTTATATTATTCGTGATTAAATATTAAATTTTACTCGTGATAGTAACTTTTTGTGGATAAAATATAATTTAACAATACCTAATTATTGGTATAATCTACTTCTTTTTACTTATCAGTATTTTACTTATTAAAAAGTAATTAAATTTATTATAATATTTTGTATCAATAGTTTTTTTTTTATTACCGACTTGTGCACCTCTGAGTTAGGTTGGTATATCTTATAGATCACTATATAATTTTTTTAGACAAAAATATAGACTAGAGTACATTTAATAATAATTATTACTTAATGACAAATATTATAGCATAAGCTGGATTGATTTATAAAGTATGAAATGTGAATTATCGCTTTAATAATGTTAACTTAATCTTTATTATCCTGTAATATGCTTGTGAGTATATATTATATTCTATAGAATTAACTGAGTTACATATAAGTTTTAGAGATAAATGTCTACTATATTAGTACCTTAGAAAAATAGTAGAAACCAAATTAAACGTTTTGTAGCTATAAAATATATACTCAAAAATTAATTATGGTTTTTTGACCGATAAATTTGTGTTAATGTTGTGGATGTAGTTAAAGGGCTTTTATTTTTTGCTATTAAGGTTGTAATATTTTATTAACTAATGGACAACATTAATAAGTCTATCCGTAGGTAACTGGAAATTCCAAGTATTATGACCACACAGTTTCTTATTCTCGATAAATTTTTTATATTAAAAAAAAAAATAATAAAAGCAATATTGTTTTTAATGACTTCAAAGGATTTATAGCTAATTATAATTTTAAATTAAGAGCCTATTTGGTAGGCCTTGTGCCTTCAGATATGACCTATATTAGTATTTGAGAGGTCATGAAAATATAAGATAATACAAATGTATTTAATACAATAAAGTTTAGTAAAAAACTCGTATCGGGTAACTTATTTCAAAATTAAACGCGACGAATATTTTTTTATAATAAAATTATATAATGTCAATTGTCAGATATACAATGATTAATATTCTTTACCTACACTACATAGTATGCTTTGTATAATTTCAAAATAATTTGCGAGATGCAATAATTGAATCATAATTGTCGACTCTTTGTATAACATAGTATATTTCATTAAAAAACAATAAAGTCGAGGGAAACTTTTGAATTTTTGATGTTAAAAACTTTTTTAATACGTAAACAACAATTGGACTACTTTAAAGTTAAATTAGAAAATATAGATATTTATTACATTAAATCAGTTGACCTAAATACACTACAAACTAATTTGTTATTTTCATTAAAAAACTTTTTATTTGTTAAGTTTTTTTTTTTCCGCATTTTTAGCTGTTTACTTACAATTATTTTGTATAATGTATACAAAATTTTTAATATGTTTGGCGTTTACACATACATTGTAATATTAGTTTGTATGTTAAATTTGTTTTAATGCGACTTTCAGAATCTTCGATTTTCATTTAAGTTATCCAAGTCGTCTTGGATTGAAATATCCGAAATTAAATTTTTTAATTCGTGTATAAAGTTTACACTTATACTTAGAGAGTCTCTACTGAGAGATTCATTAGCCCTCGTTCATAGAAACCTTCTGATAACTCTCATCATTCAAAATGTATGGTCACCCTGAAGTCAACTGTAATGTCATCCCGCCAATGAATAATTGCACTATACGTCATCACTAAATTCTTGATTTAAACATTTGGCCAAGTCCAGTAACATTCTAAAAGTTAACACTAAACTTCTGTATACGTACACACGTAGTAAAATGCTAAGTGTGAACTTTGTTAGACAGTTTTGAATAATTTCCAGAAAGTTGTTTCATAGTTATCGACAAACAAATGTTACACAACGAATAATACTCAAATAATACTAAGCATCGAAAAATATTCGATGACAGTAAACCAATTAATCTTATTGAATTCGTTCGATTTTGCTGAACAGCATAAAACTTGCTCAATAAAGTTGTTCAAAAGTTACGGGCAAACAAACGTAACAAAACAAATAATACTAGTTGCAGCTTGTAGTTGCTTAACATAAGAACTCGATAAAATACGCTGTCATATTTGCCGATTGTGTATATTGTATTGTACTTACAACGACTATAATATGTGCATAAGAAATAACATTAATAACAATTGTACTCGTATATACTATCTAATAAAATCTAGCAAATTCATTGAGAATAATAGGATATATTTATTTTTTTGCCATTATATTATATGTGTAGGTATTTGATCTGAAGTAGTGTCAATGGACGCCCCCTTCGATCAAGTCGTCCAGTGTTATAAATAAATTAGCCCTAAATTTTACTTATTGTTTATACTAATACAGAAGAGTGGATAGGG